TAAAAAACACTGGCACCTTCTCAAACAAGACGAAACACTAAACAAAATTATACCTGAACGCCCCAATATTATATTTAGGGGTGCCCAAAATTTTAAATCTATTCTGACCAATAATTTTACAAGAGAAAAAACTTTTAAAAAAAATCCCCTTATATCCTTTTTCCCACAAATTAAAGGTTTTTGCAAGTGTAAAATGTGCATTGTGTGTAAATCCACCAATCCTGATGTTCCACCCAAAGTAACGGAATTTACATCAAAAAGGACTAACAAGGTTTACAAAATAAATGATTTTATTAATTGCTCCACGAAAAATGTAATATATCTGCTTGAATGCCCTTGTGGCCTCCAATATGTTGGAATGACCACAAGGTGTCTAAAAATACGTCTGAGCGAACACTGCAGAAATATCAAGAATGGATACTTAAATCATTCAGTATCCAAACATTTTATTATACATAATAAAGATCCTAAAATGCTTAAATGCATTGCTATAGGGAAATGTATGGTTCCATGGAGGGGTGGAAATATTAAAAATATTCTAGGCAAAAAAGAGATGGAGTGGGTTTATACACTCCAAACTCTTGCACCTTATGGTCTGAATGTTGATTTTGATTTATTTAATTTTTTATAATCCAAATTTTTATAATCATATTTTTTATAAGTATATGTTTTTACATTATCTATTATTGTTTTGTTCTCTCACCATGCCTCTCTTACTATCCAGCAGAGCAGGTATGATGTTGTTTTTTACCTGCCTGTCTCTCACACAATCATGTTTTTATTCCATTTTTTCTTTTAACAATTAGTTTCATTCATTTTATTTTATTTCATTCCACCTATATATGCTTTTTAATGGCTATTTGTTCCCTCTCCCCCCTCCTCTATTTGGCCATAGTTTGCCGATATTGTTATGCATCATCTCCATGACGACGGCCACAGCGTTGTGTGAGCCGTCGTCTATCTTCTTCCTGATGACGGCGGCCACTGTCTTGTGCGTGCCGCCGTCATCAGCCCGCCCCTTATTCCGCCTACTGGCGTCTGGACGCATCCGTTATGCGAACAGACGCCAGCTACCAATTCCCCCTCATGACGCCGGCGGCTGCGCAGTGCCGGCCGGCGTCAAACTACACACCCCATAACCCCTTGCGGTTGCGATGCCGGTCATGAGAGTTTTTTTCAATAACCACTGATCGTTTTTAAAGTTAAATTACATAATTTATAATGTCTGTTTTAGCTTTATCCTTATGTATATTATTTTTTGTGTTTTATTACTGCTATATTGTATGTAATTTTTTATTGCAATCTGATTGGTTGTCCAAATTTTGGCGCCAATTTTTGAGTTAATTGAGTATGCTATTTAAATGATCTTTTGCCAGGTATCAGGTCCTTTACCCATATTGATAACGCCGATTGGCGAAACGCGTTTATGGTTTTTTTATAGTGTGTAATGTTACAATTAAAGTATATTTTATAATCTTTTATTGTACTACTTATCTTTTAACACACATATAATTATTATTGTTACCTGGCATCATTCGCTGGACTCCAAGCAATCCTAGGTGGGGATTATTCCACCAGTGCGAAATACCAGGAGCAGTTGACCTGCTCCTGTCTTGTGAGTATCCATTTTTTATTTTGTTTTATATTGGATTTTAATTTTACGCAGAGAACACTATTGGCTGTCTCTTTTTATTTGAGCATCTTTTACACCACGGAAGGAGGAAACACGTGGAGGATAACCATCCTATATCCCATAAGCGGGGATCTAAACCGCTGTACGCCTTCTATACCAGAGCAGGTCCTAGCTCTTGGATATGTGAGTTCGCAATCAAGCCTTTATATTTTATTCCTTACACATATAGATATACTGCACCATTGTGGTTTTGTATTTGTTTTTATATCTTACATAAGAGACAATCCACAAGAAAGACAGAAAGCAAGACAGAAAGCAAGAAAGCAAGATTATTACCTCTGACTAAGTATTACGGACATTGCAAGATAAGACCTCTTCTGTTTTATTTATTTATTTGTTTATTTTATCTGGACTTTTATTCATTTATTACTTAAGCGCAGCCCTTTTTTTGTATTTTTTGTGCAAACACAAATAGATCGCTTCGTATGGGCCAACAAGCGGGCCAGAATACGAAGAGACATCCTCTACCTCCTGACGCGATCGGGGGGCCTAGGCCTACCCCATTTCCTCCATTATTTCCACGCAGCACAACTAGCACAGATTAAGGCACTACACGCCCCCATAGGGTTGAAAAGATGGGTAGACCTTGAACATGACCTGTTCGGCCACGATTTCCCTTCCCTCTACATCTGGGTCCCAAAACAAGCTAGACCACAACCCCCGCACACCACACCGGCACTTGACACCTCTATTACAATCTGGAACAAACTCTCCTTAAAACATGGACTCACATCGAACCCTTCGCCCCTGACGCCAATCCTGAGAAACGAACACTTCATACCGGGCATGACCCCAAAAGACTTCGCGCACTACGAAGACAACGACCTCGTCAGGACATATCAATTTTTTCGAAACCAAAAAATCATTGCATTCATGGACCTGCCGCAAACCAGACCACTCACCACACACGACTTCTTCCGCTACCTGCAAATCAAAAGCCTCCTAGACACCCCTACCTATAAACAAGCCGGACTTACACCCCTCACCACCTTTGAACAGGCATGTATCCATGCCCCCATACAAAAAAGCCAGATCTCCACAACCTACGAACTACTGCTCAAACCGATAGGGACACACCCACCAGGGTACGTAATAGCATGGGAAAGGGATCTAGGACCCCCCGCAGACCCCACAGACTGGTCCGCAATATGGGTAGCCACAGCAACAGTGACGATATGCGTAGCACATAAAGAGCAGGCATACAAAACCCTAATGCGCTGGTACCATACTCCGCTAAAACACAAGCAAATGGGACTATCCACCTCAGATAGATGCTGGACGGGGTGCAGCCAAAAGGGAACATACTACCACATGTGGTGGGAATGCCCCCGCATCGCACAAATCTGGACAGACATAGTGGCCCTGGCATCCAGAGTCCTACATGATACCATCCCAAGAGACCCGTGGTTGTGGTTACTATCCAAACCTATGGACGGTACACCACAGGCTCATAATAAACTACTAGCCAAACTAGCCTTGGCAACGAGGAGAGCCATAGCCTCCCACTGGAGCTCACACACAGTCCCGTCACTCACTGACGTAAAGAAAAAAATGAACGAAGCCAGGGCAATGGACAGTCTATCTGCTCTCATTCATGACACCACTACGCATTGTAACAAAATATGGGATCTGTGGCTCATGGAACCCACCACTGCCACATAAAACACACAGGGGCAACCAACCACGACAGAAGCCACGCACAAACACATAACCCATAGGAGCCACGAAGCCAGTGTACAAGACAGGACCACAGGGACATACGCAACTCCGAAAAACCGAACAACCAACAGATCAGGGACGCCTTCTCACCCCCCCCTCAATCCCCCCACAACCCCATCGGAACCCCCAAAGTGTGGAACCCCCAATCCACACTCTTTCCCAGAACTGAGCTTAATCCACTCTCGCCCCTTAACTTGTAGTTCCGAATCCATGTGCCGCACCAAGGAAACATGATCTTAGGTTCAAACTTGTTAATATTTGTTTTGTTTTGTTTTGACTTGTTTAATTGTCTGGAAAACCGACAGAACAGAATCATACACGAGAAAATAATGTTGCATTATCAGAAAACTACTCTACTGGTATATACCTCTCTGTATCACAATGTATTGCTACACTGTTTACTTTCGGCTTTTGCATAAGCCCACACAATACCTTCTGTCCAACATCTGTGTACTTGCCAATTCTGTCAACCGGAAAATAAAGAATTAAAAAAATAAAATTTAGCAGTACATGGAGCAGAGAATTGGTCACATTCCTAGATTTAGACATCTTCATAGAAGAAGGGAAAATCAAGACTAAGAATCACTTTAAACAAGTAGATTGTAATAGCTTTATAGAGAATGCAAGTTGCCATCATTCCCCTTGGCTAGAGAATGCACCAAAGGGACAACTTTTGAGGATCCGCTGTAATTGTAGTGACCTCACGGTCTATGATGAACAGGCCTTGCCTATAAAGACAGATTTCCTGGCCAAGGGTTATGATGCCTATAAACTAGAGAACTCAAGGAAAGAAGTTAGCAACAGAGAAAGAAAAGAGCTATTATCCTATAAAAACAAAATAACCACAGAGGCACAAGATGTCCCATTCATCTGCAATTATAACTCTCACAACTATCAAATCAATCGGATTATTAAGAGATATTGGCCGATTTTACTACAGGATCCCGTTTTGAAATTAATTCTTCCTATTAACCCTAGAATGATTTATAGGGGTGCTAAAAATCTTAAAAATACTCTAGTACGAAGTTCGTTGAATGAAGTCAAAACCCCTTCCACTATATTTAATGGTGAAAGGGGTTTTTGCGGCTGTGGGCAATGTACAGCTTGCAAAAAATTAGGATGCACCCGGAGAAAAGTGGGAGATATTAATCTAAATGGAACAGATAAAATCCAAATAAAACAGTTTATAACTTGTTAGTCCAAAAACGTAATTTACCTTCTCACTTGTCCATGTTGATTAAGATATGTAGGAAGGACAACTAGACCCTTACATGTCAGGATTAGGGAACATATATATAAAATACAAACAGGTTTCATAAAGGATCTGGGGAAACGGGAGATGGAGTGGATTTACAAATTGAACACTCTAATCCCTTATCGCCTCAACTCTGATTTTGAATTATGCCATTTTTTATAAGGTTACTTTTAGCGATATTATTTATTTATATAGGTATTTTTTATAAATGAATTAAATCAGTTTGTATAAAATGTAAAGATTTGGAATACTAAGAAGGGATAGATAATTTAGTTTTTAGACTTTTTTAGAATATTATTACGCATAAAGATATTATCTAAATATTTTGCCACAATTGAATTAAAGTTGGTTTATTTTAAATTTGATCAATAAGAAGGGACTTTTAAAAAAATGGGATTAACGAATGGAGAAAAAGAAGTAACTTGAGAAAATAGGGTGTATTATTAATTAACCTGAAGGAAATAATAATTTGAGCATAAGAATAGAATAATTTATGTAGAAAGAAAATGTGATTAGATACAATTATCTCCTATTAATGTATCTCTTATACTAGAAATGTATCGATGTAAACGCACTTTAACAAATCAACGGAAAGAGGATCCGATTAAAAACAATTAATACATAATTAAGGTTTATAAAAGATTTGTGTTTCATTGTATTTCGGAAGGTGGAAATATTTATTGATTGTTTTTGTATTGTTTTTATGTTGTTTTTTTAAAGATGAAATTTGTATAAACCATATGTGACTATATAATTTTATTATGTTTTGAGTCATGGACTGATACTGCGCTTTTTGTATTTTTGTATTTTTTATGTCTTTGCCTTTTTGGAACTGATAATGAACTTTGGGAAGAAATAAGACAGTTTCCGAGATTAGAATTTCTGAATGGGAGTAGAACGTATCGATATACCGTGCATCACGAGGAAAAGAATTACGGAGATAGCATTCCGGTAACCTTCAGATACCGGCACGAAAGAGAGGCATGGACCGCACACGCTGTGCTGGTGGGTGGCACTAGCGTGTGACGATGAGCTACACTGAGCACTTACCCGCCGGTATGAAGATATTTAAACTGGCGGAGGGAACCTGAAGCCATTCACTGATTTTTATCCGGCTGAGGAAGCCAAATTACATTGGCGAAACGCGTACCGGTTTTTAGCCTATATAGGCAATTTATATTGTATGTATAATAAATTGTTATTTTTTGATTTTTTTAATGAATTTGGGTTCCAGATATATTTTTTCAACAAAGAAGGAGTGCAGCCTTTAATCTGCACAACGCAGGTTAATTGAGTCATATACCTATGACTCCATGTTTGTGAGTATTAACTCTTAAGAATTTATTGCACTATATTATACATATATTGAACCAATACTGTGGTTGTGCCCCTTGTTTTGCAGAATAAGGAAAATTTCGGTAATAGGGGTGGATCGCCTAAACGGATCCAAAGACGCAATAAGAGTGTAAACAATTAGGATTTTGTTCTTATATTTAATATTGTGTGATTTGCACTATGTTAAATTATTCTCTACAGATATCCGTTGGATTCCAGTATTGTTGAATGGGTAAGGCAGTGGCTGAGTGACAAGCAACAGAGAGTTGGAGTCAATGGAGTATATTTGAAGCATGGTGTTGTCACCAGTGGGGTACCTTAGGGATCTGTACTTTCTCTTAAATATTTTTATTAGTGACATTGCAGAAGGTAATGATGTAGGTAAACTAGAAAAACGGTCAGTGCTGTGGCAACTGACATTTAATGTGGATAAGTGCAAGATAATGCATCTTGGACGTAAAAACCCAAGGGCAGAGAACAGAATATTTGATAGAGTCCTAACCTCAACATCTGAGGAAAGGGATTTAGGGTTAATTATTTAAGAGGACTTAAAGGTAGGCAGACAATGTAATAGTTCTGAGTGTCTATTGAAATAAATAAATAGAGTAGACAGGATTAAGAGGAAATGAAAATACAGGTTGTGAAAAAATAATAAAAATATATTCAATCAAGTCCTTGGTATAAATGTATCAGCTAGTCAGGTCCTTACCCCTCCTCCCCCCTCCCCCACGATGAAAGGTAGGTAGGATCCAAAAAAGAGAGAAAAATACCAAAAAACCCAGAGGGTACAAAGGATCTAAAAAGTACACCTATGGGTATCTAGTATTACTATAAAGCAACCCTTATCCAGATAAAACATAACTTTTAATAATTTATTATAAAAGAGGCACAATAGCCACAATATAAAGAATATATAAATAGTATCTAAAGTTAGTATTGACTAGGAGAAGGAGAAAGGAGGTTTAGTATAAATGTACAATTTAAATACAGAAGTGTCCCAATGTCTATTCGTGGCACAGATACATCAGGGATGGAAGGGGTTAATGTGTGAACTGAACTTGATAGCCCATTTTGCTTTCCGCTATTATCATCCAATCCCACTGTAATAATTACGAGCCCCCCAACTCTGTTGTACTCGTCTCCTATCTAACTCTAGATTACTAGTAAAACATCTAAATCACTTGTAAAGTATAAAGAAAAATGTATGTGAAGGGTGGCTGGTTCGGAGCTAAATAATAGTCACAGCTGCAGCATCGTCCCTGTCTCTCTCCTCCACCCTTCACACTAACTAGTCCCGACGCGCGTTTCGACGAAAGTCGGCTCTTCCAGGGGAACCGAGCAAAGAATAAACGGTCATTTAAATATCCCGCCCTCGCCTATAATTGGCTACTAATCTGGCCAATTGGAGAAAGGGGGGAGGAGCCTTATCCTCCACGCCAGTTAACCCTAAAAAGGTCAATGAGCTGGATAGTTTAAATAAAAAAGTGTAAATGACTTTGTTTGTGTATTGAAATAATGTACTGAATCATTTAGGAAAGAATGAAATGTTGGGGGGCTCGTAATTATTATAGTGGGATTGGATGATAATAGCGGAAAGCAAAGTGGGCTATCAAGTTCAGTTCACACATTAACCCCTTCCGTCCCTGATGTATCTGTGCCACGAATAGACATTGGGACACTTCTGTATTTAAATTGTACATTTATACTAAACCTCCTTTCTCCTTCTCCTAGTCAATACTAACTTTAGATACTATTTATATATTCTTTACATTGTGGCTATTGTGCCTCTTTTATAATAAATTATTAAAAGTTATGTTTTATCTGGATAAGGGTTGCTTTATAGTAATACTAGATACCCATAGGTGTACTTTTTAGATCCTTTGTACTCTCTGGGTTTTTTGGTATTTTTCTCTCTTTTTTGTTTCAATTACTACGGGTTACCTCCCTCCCCCCCTCATTTAATAATAAGCTTTTCATTAGGTTTCAATACCATTGGTATGGGTAGGGAGTAGAAACCAAGGACCACTACTATATTTTTTTCAAGAATTTTGACCAATCCAAGAGTTGGTTTTAATCAACTTGCTGATTCATTTAGCGAGGCAAAATATGATTGATTTTTTGGAACAAGTAGTACATCCAGACTTTAGGTCTGAAGATGTGGCGAATGTGTTGTCTATTAAACCGTTAGAGAACACAAGTAATGAATCCAAAGACATAAACCATGCCTTTTTCGCAATACAAAAACTATATCAAACACAATTAAGGGGCTTTTGGGAACTTGCCAGCCTAAGACAATATATTGAACAGAAACTGGTATCAAGAGGTCTTAGACCCGACATTTTACTACCGGACAAAGTTAAAACAGAAGAACAGATTGCAGAATGGAATTCGATTCTGCTAGAATGTTCTGCCAAAATAATGCAATTTCTTGTTAAACTAGAACAAGAGAACCTAGAAAAGACTAATGGAGAGTTAGACATTGAAATTAAGAAAATAAAAACATTTGACAAGGAACCTAATTTTACAGCTATGGAAACAAAGCTAAACAAAAATCTAGAGAACTTTAAAAAGAATATCAGACAAAAAAAACATTATAAATTTCAAAGGGACTACAGGGATTTTCAGGAAGGCAACATTTTTAAAAATATAAATATACGAAAATTTAGAAATGGTAGAGTGGGGAACAAAGGATTTTCCTCCTCAGATGAAACGGAGTGGTCTGAATCGGAAACAAGACCCCGTTACAACAAAAGACTTCCCTCTAGAAACACACAGCAAACATCCACAGTTCAAACCAGAGGGATTTTGAAAAGTACAGATAAGAACATTTCATTTTCAGATCCCCCTCTCAGTTCAGCCTCAGCCTTAAGCTCTAGATATGAGTCGACCCCTGGATTACCACAACCGTCCTTGGCTTTTTTAGACCAGGATTGGCCTCAACCACAAAGAAAGAGACTCAGAGACAGGAAAAAATGGGGGTACAAGACACACAAGTTCAACTTCCAATAGCTGATAAATTAAAAGAAAAGAAAATAATAAATGTATCTAAGTTTGTTCTGAAGTCCAGACACATTTCACTTTTACAAAAAGGTTTATCTTTTGTACCTACACCTTCTAGAAATATGTTTGATTGGGCCAAGGATGTTAATCTATTTGGCCGTAAATTGGCCCTTCATGAAAAAATAAATCTTAAAAATCTCAGAGAATTGGGTCTCTCCTCAGAGGACAATGCACTATATAAGCTCCTGACAGATTTGTACTCTGAACAGGAACTTTCGGACTCCTTGACTAAATTTAAACCTCCTAGTTGGTTCACTCCAAATTTAAAGGAATTTCCTTGTATTGATCTATTTGTTCAGATCTGTACTAAAGAATTGGAGTCCCAAATTTCTCAACAACCTCTGACTTCTAACCTAAAAGTAGAAGAAAGACAAGCTCTAAAAGAATTACAACTAGCAACAGAAGTTGTCATTAAGTCTTCGGATAAAGGAGGCAACATTGTCCTCATGCAGAGAGACCAATATGTAGACATGCGTATGATACATCTATCAGACGAAACAGCCTATCAAACATTGAAAGAAGATCCCACTAAAGGGTACTTTAAAGAATTACAAGCATCGGTACAAGGAGCTTTAACAGATAAAATAATTACACAAAATGAGTATAGATATATTGTTTCTCAGTCCAATATTACTATTGCTACTTTTTATTGTCTCCCCAAGGTACACAAAGATCTATGTAACCCTCCGGGGAGAACTATCGTGTCAGGCAATCACAGTCTAACTGAGAGGGCAAGCCAATTTTTAGATAATTTGTTACAACCCTTGGTATTAGGCCTCAAGTCCCACATACGAGACACAAAACAGACTTTGTTGGTATTGGAAAATCTTACAGTGCCCCCATATACGTCCTTGGCAAGCCTGGACATGGTGGCACTGTATAATAATATTCCACATGATCAAGGACTAGCAGGGGTTGCCTATTTTCTTGAAAAAGCCAAGACTTTCAATGAACAGGAACAACGGTTCATACTACTTTTATTAAAATTTGTGCTAACACACAATTATTTTACATTCAATGGCAAATATTTCTTGCAACTAAGAGGCACAGCCATGGGTTCATCTTGTGCACCCAGTTATGCCAACCTGTTTCTGGGGTGGTGGGAAGAGACTATAGTATTTACTGGCTCCAATGCTATCTACACCTCATCTATACTACAATGGTATCGCTATATAGATGATGTGTTAATATTCTGGTTGGGCTCCTTTTC